AAAAGCTAAACCAACCTGACGAGAGTCTGGCGTGTATAAAATTTAAACTTGTACTCTGTCAAATTATAGTATAGAAAGATGTCGAACCCACAGAGATTGGTTTATCTATTCTACAGACGTTTCTTGTTTTAATTACTATTTGAGAAAATCAGGAAGAGTTGAGTTGTAAATTAACTAACCAAAAATGCATGAATAGAGCAATAGAAAATATTTTGTTTTCACAAATATAATAAAAAGGTGTTGGGATCATACATTCACTTAATATTTCTATTATATAATAGATAAAATTATCCTTCAATTTCTATTTCTCACAAATGTATAAATGTCTCTCATGATTACATTTATATATCATTACTTAAGTTGAACATTTAATTGCATTCTTCTCGGTTATACAAATTAATCGTCAAAATAGTAATATTAAAGAGCCAGAAATATATGCTTAAACTAAAACTTGCTCTTTTTAGTAAATCCCTTTCGATTACCCTACTTGTTATAACTGATTACTACAATATTCGCCTCTTTCGATTACAAATAAGTGTAGAATCAATTTTAGCATATAAGAGTTAGATTTCACTAAATAAAAGTTAACATTTATCAATACCAACATTAACTATATTACTCTTCCGCCTCTTTCGATTACAGAACTAGTAAGAAGTTAATGTTTAGTGTGAAATAGATAGATGTTAACAAATTAAATAACACCTAACTATAAAGCAGATAAAATTTAAATGAAAAAACTTCATCTCAAACATGTGAAATTGAGGGATAATATCTACTATTATATAGAAATATTAAGATCCATCACTCTCCCAGCACAAGAAGAGTTACTCCATAATGGAGTTAGTACTTACAACGAAAATATTGTTGCCCATTAAATAAGAAAATAGAAAGAAATATTCAAGAGAATAATTCTCCCTATTTAATTAAAAACAGGTGCTAGAGCAATTTCCAATATTATAATTTATTCGGAACTAGAAATGAAGACACTGTAATAGCTAAAAGAAGAAAAGAAAGTAATGAAAGAAACAAGGAAAAGAAGAAGCTCTCTCAATTTTGTCTCCTCAACAGAAGCTCAATGTAGCACTATTTATAAATGGAAAAGTATATGATGTACATTGATTTCTCACATATATTTTCCCAAGATGGCAACTTGCAAGTGCTTGTAGTTGTAAAGTTTGTTGAAATGTAATCCTCCAAATCGACAGGTGGACCATTTGCTTGGACTTTTTTCATGTGCACAACTACTTTCATCATTTGTAAAGTTGCATACACCAATTTACTTTTAATTTTCAGCATTATAGTTCTTCTTTGCAAATTTGGAAAGTGAACTTTTTCTTCTCATTGTTCCTTTTTTCTTATTAGTTTAATTGTTTCCTACAAAGAAAGAGAAAAATATTAGTACTAAATTTAAATTCCAGCTCAACTTATGCATGATATATTTCTCTTATCACAACCACCCCACACTTTAACTTTTACAAAATTCATTACAATTCAAGTGCTCATGAGAGGTGAAAATGTGCAAATAGATGGTCAATTCAAACAATTCGATAAGGCTTGTAATGTGGTTGCCTAAAAAACAGGATTATAGGCTCAAATGTGTTAACTACGATACATAACAATTAGGCGGGTAAAATATATATATCAGGCTCAACAAAGAAACGCCTATATTTCTTCCAAGACTAAACAAAACTACTATTTCGCTTTGCAAACACACGGGGCAAGTTCTAGACATGAAATACAATGCACAGAATAACACACAAACCTCATACTCACATGGCACATAACTCACTCATGATTGGACTCATCAATACATTCTAGTCAAAGCAGTTAAGTAAAGTTATAATCACACAATTTAAGGCACTTATTTAAGAGCCAAGAATTGAGCATAGGTGTCACAACTAAGGTACTTACTACTCCCAAGGCATATGCAGTCAAGGAAAATTGATTCTTTAAATTAGATTCCTAACTCAAGATTCTTTATTCCTATAAAATAAAAAGATTTAACTACACCCGGTTCAAGCAAAACTCTTCGAAAAGAACCGCGGCGCAAAGAAAAATCAAGGGGGAATTATTACACTACCTAAAAAAATATAAAATACTAAAATAAAAAAACATATTTTTGGATTTTCAAATTTTTTTCCCATTTCTGTCGACTTCATCTCCCTCAAGAAACAAGTCGACTAAATCCATCGTCGGGAAGAGTCGAACTAAACACTTAATTACTAACTATTACATGCCGATAGAATTCAGAATTATAGTTTACAGACCATATTGTCTATGAAAGCAAGAAGCAAATCAAACAATATCAACTAGCAAATAAACAAAAACAAGTACAAATACAAATACAATCAAATAGGAGCACCCCACCCCACACTTAAGAGATTGCATTGTCCCCAATGCAAACCAGTAAAATCAAGAGCGAAAAGGTGACTCCTTGAGGCCCATGGCCTAATCATCAGCACCCTCGAAGGTGCGTAAATACTCCTCATCATCGGAGGGAACGGAGTTCACATCCTCATCCGGTGGAAGTTTTCCTCCTCTCGCCAATCCTAACCACTGCTGAGTGATAGTGGAAAGGTGGTGATCATGATGCAACTCCTCCAAGTCAGTCCCCTGAAAAGAACGAAGGCGCAAGTCAGCAAACATCAGCTATAGCGTCTTCTCAACATGGACCAACCTCTGGTCCGAATTAATAATAGTAGTAGGAGGGTCTATCACTAATGTGATATCATTGGCCTTGATAGGATAAGTCACTAGGATGGTCTGGTCATAGTGAAACTCCTCCTCTACATGGTGCGCCTGCAACAACCGAGTGATCATACCTGGGTAATGTAGACGGCAGGCCCCAAGTGGTCGCACTTTAGCCATGTGCTCCAGCATGATTTTTCTAAGATCCAACCGCATCCGTGTCAATAAAGCATAGATCAAACACACTTTCAGTCATGGGACATCAATGTCACTTTGAGTATGCATGATTTTGGCATTAATTAATCGTAAAACAGTCGTCGTCGGACGCTGGAATGTTCCCTTCTTTATGTCTTTATGGAATTCATTCACATCTCGTGTCATACGGCAAAAGAGTTAGCGCCACATAGCTGTCGATGGATAGCCGGATAGTCTGGCCAATGGAGAAACCTCTGAAAGAGCTTGCGGGAATGCTCTGTGAAGCCCATAATCCGATTGATCACTTGGGATGAGAATGGAATCATTTTACCTCGTACCCATACTTCGTACACAGCATCCAGGTTGGCCTCAGGTTTCCAGTTAGCATAAAATTCCTTGACTAGGTTCACGTTCACCATGTCACCTGGACGGAACAGACTGTCAAAACACAAAGCCCAAATTTTGTTGTATATCTAACTATATTTGCGGGCCAACTTCCCATCGCCAATAGCAACCTCAGGCTCCGGGTTCACCGCAGGGACAAACGTTTGGAACCAGTGTTGAGCATGGGCTGAGACAACCCGAATACCAAATTTGCACTTTGGTACCACATCTACATCAGGGTCAATGTGCTCCTCTTCCTCCTCCACTTGGGCGGGGGGAGGTGCTCGCCTACCTCCTCGACGGCTACTAGAGGCAACCTCGGAAGAACCTGTGTTAGAGCGTTTGCTCGGGTGGCGAGACATTGTACCTGCATAAGACGAACAATATTAGTGACAACACGTAGACCAAAATAAGACCAAACGGGTAACCACCCCACACTTATGTTATTGGCATGTTCACAAGTAAAATGTATATCGGGGACTCAGACTACCCCATTAGAAGTACGCCACAAGCAATCAGCAGCCCACCCAACTACCAATAACAAAACTACAAACAACACTAGTGTACACGAAGAAATTAAGAAGCTAAACTAGTAAACACGAAAAAAAAAACTAAGAGTTTAGTCTAATTCACTACTAACAAAATTAAGAGATAATAGAACACTACACAAACAAAATAGCATGAATCGGACACCTCATTTGGCACCTAGCAACACATTAGCATAGGGTGGTCAATCAATTAGGACTTGGGGCAAATGAGTTAAAGTTTCACAGCATAAAACATGGCATCACACCCCATAATTATCATCAAGCATTACATCCCACAAAGCACTTCGTTTCTCAATTTGTAATACTATACAATTTTATGTCACTAAGGCATTTCGACAAACACATTGTGGGCATATCTTGCACCTTATAACTTTTAATTCAAATTGGGGTAGAATCTCCATACAACCAAAGTAAATACACCTCACACCTTCATAATAACATCAAGTGCACCAATTATTCACCAAACTTCCCTAAATTTCCGCCACATAAGCATCCCCACAAAGCTTCAACATAATTTAATTTCACACCATCAAAACACACCAAAAATCGTTCACAATCATAAGAACCATGAACACCCCACAAGTTAAGCACCATTTTCAACCATAATAGGCAAAGAAACTAAAAAAATGCACAACTAAATCTACCTAGGGTTTGGTTCAAAATAAACTAAAATTACTTAACTACTACAATCAATTACTAAAAGAAAAGAGATGATATGAGAGGAATACTTACCTTGAAGATGATAAAAGGGATGAGAGGGGTGTGTNGGGGGAGAACGGGTCTCTTGATTAAAAGACTAAAGAAAAAAATATTTTTTTAATTTTGCACTGTCGCGTCGCAAGGCGCGGTGCCCCACGCGGTGCGGTAGTGTATTTTATCAAAGGCTGGTTCTTTTCATTCTGAGAGTCGTTTGGCCTGGCGCGTCGCATGGCACAGTTCCCCGTGCAATGTGCTCGGTCATTTTTCACAGTCCGCCTCGTTTTCGATATTTAACTCACGGGTTGCACCCCAAATATATTATGTACTTATTTTATGTCTAATTTGTGCTTGTACCTACCCAAACAAGTCTCACAACTCTTAAGCTCTAATAATACTAAACTACAATTATGGGTTAGTGAGGTTAAAAATTGGATTACCTCCCAACAAGCGCCTGATTTAATGTCGCGGCATGACACAGAATCTTATCTAATCATCGACAAGTAACACCTTCGACTTCTGACGATCAAAGTCACCTCTATAATAGTGCTTGACTCTTTGTCCGTTCACTAAGAACGTTCTCTTGTCTCCTAAGATGTGCAGCTTAATTGCACCATGTGGAGTGACTCTCACTATCTCAAACGGGCCCAACCATCTCAATTTGAGCTTCCCCCGAAAGAGTCTCAACCTTGAATTGAATAAGAGAACCAATTGGCGTGGTTCGAACTCGCGATGATGGATATGCTTATCATGCCAACACTTGGTCTTTTCTTTATAGAACTTGGCATTCTCATACGCGTGCAAGAGAAACTCATCAAGATCGTTCAATTGCATCAACCGCTTTCTACCCACTAAATCTGTATCAAAGTTCAGTTTCGTTATCGCCCAGTATGCCTCATGCTCAAGTTCCACCGGTAAATGGCATGCCTTCCTATAAACAAGCTTGTAAGGGGAGGTTCCGATTAGAGTTTTGTAGGCAGACCGTTATACCCATAGAGCATCATCAAGCTTTGCAACCCAATCTTTCCTTCTTGCACTAACCGTCTTCTCTAGAATTTGCTTTATCTCTCTAGTTGACGCTTCAACTTGTCCACTAGTCTGAGGATGGTAAGCGGTTGCAACCTTATGTCTGACCCCGTATTTTTCTTAGACATTATCCAATGTCTTGTTACAAAAATGGGTGCCCCCATCACTTAGCATCACTCTCGGGGTGCCAAACCTTGTAAAAAATGCTTCACAAAGTTGACCACAACCTTGGCATCATTTATAGGAAGAGAAATGGCCTCCACCCACTTCGACACATAATCAATGGCCACCAAAATGTACTTACACCCACTGGACGAGGGAAACGGATCCATAAAATCAATTCCCCACACATCAAAGATTTCAACCTCCATAATACCATTCAGTGGCATCTCATGCCTTTTCATAATTGTTACTGTTCTCTGGAAACTATCACACATCTTCACGAACTCATGGGTATCTTTAAACACCCTAGTCAATAGAAACCTGATTGCAACACCTTGGCTGTTGTTTTGTCACCCGCATGATGACCACCATAAGACGATGCATGACAATCATGTAAGATAGCATTTATTTCAGATTCGGGCACACATCTTCTCATTAACTGATCAATAAAAGTTTTGAACAGAAATAACTTATCCCATACATATGATCTCACATCTCGCAAGAACTTCTTTTTAGCATGATGTTCTAGATCAGGCGACATTTCCCCACTTGCCAGATAGTTCACAAAATCTGCATACCATGGCACCTCCGCAACAGTAACAGCCAGTAATTGCTCATCTGTGAAGGTTTCCTTGATAACATCTCCCTTAGCTACATGATTTTGAGTTTCTAACATGGACAAGTGATCAGCTACTTGATTCTCTGTTCCTTTACAGTCTCGGATCTCCAAATCAAATTCCTACAAGAGTAAAACCCAACGAATTAGACTTGGTTTAGCATCTTTCTTTTCAAACAAATACCTGATGGCTACATTGTCTGCGTAGACGATGACTTTGGTGCCAACCAAATAGGCTCGAAATATATCGAACGTCCACACTACAGTAAGCAACTCCTTTTCTGCCACAGTATATTTATTTGAGCAGGAGTGAGAGTCTTACTTGTGTAGTAAATGGAGCGAAATATTTTTCTCCTCCTTTGGCTCAATATGGCCCCAATTGCAACATCATTAGCATCACACATCAACTCAAATGGCTCGTTACAGTCAGGGGACACTATGATTGGTGCACTCACTAACTGCTTTTTCAGCTCCTCGAACACTTTCAGACAAGCATCGTCAAACTTGAATGGCACATCCTTCTCTAACAACCTGCATAAATGAGAGAAATTTTTTGAGAAATCCTTTATAAATCTGCGATAAAAACCTACATGTACCAGAAAACTTCTAACTCCTTTCACTGAGATCGGTGGTGGCAACTTTTCAATTGCTTCCACATTAGCTTTGTCAACTTCCAGTCCATCTTTGGATACCTTGTGTCCCAGCACTATACCTTCACGTACCATAAAATGACATTTTTTCCAATTCAGTACCAGATTAGTCTCCTCACACCTAGCAAGCACTTTAGCAAGATTGGTTAAGCATTCATCAGAAGAAGGACCAAACACAGAAAAATCATCCATGAAGACATCCACAAACAATTCCAACATATCGGTGAAAATAGCCATCATACACCTTTGAAAAGTCGCATGTGCGTTACATAAACCAAATAACATTCTCTTAAATACATAAGTACCATAAGGGCATGTAAAAGTGGTCTTTTCTTGATCTTCCGAGGCAACAACTATCTGATTATACCCCGAATAGCCATCAAGGAAATAATAGTATTCTTGTCCGGCTAACCTGTCAAACATTTGATCAATGAAGGGGAGAGGGAAGTGGTCTTTTCGTGCATTATCCAACTTCCTATAATCTATGTATATGCGCCAACCAGTCACAGTCCTGGTTGGGATTAATTCATTTTGTTCATTCACTACAATAATCATAACCCCCCCCCCTTCTAGGTACACATTGAATAGGGCTTACACACTTATTGTCAGAGATACGAAATACTATACCTGCGTCAAGCCACTTAATCACTTATTTTCTTACCACCTCTTTCATGATTGGATTCAAGTGGTATTGATGTTCAACGCTCGTCTTGTGTCCCTCCTTCATGAGTATTTTGTGCATGCATAAAGCAGGGTTAATACCTTTATATCAGACATTGTCCAACCAATGGCATGCTTGTGCTCCCTCAGCACCCTTAAGAGCTTCTCTTCCTACAATTTAGAAAAATGAGATGAATCAATCACAGGTAAAGTGTTAGAACTTCCCAAATATGCATAATGAAGATGAGATAGTAAAGGTTTAAGTTCCAGTTTTGGGGCCCCCTCAACTGAGGGTTTAGGGGGGCGGGCCGATTGGCCTATCCAGAGGCTCAAACTAGGATTCTTCTCTTATGTATTCGCAAGATGCGTCCAAAATTTGCAACATCTCCTCAGCCTCTTCTTCAAGTTCCAAGTGATTGAACAACATCAATGCTTTTTCTAGTGCATCATCAATAAACGCACTTGGATCTACGGCTGGTTTATTTATCTCCACCACAGAAATCATGGACAGGTCCTCGTAATGACGAGGCAACTGAATATCTCGATATACATTGAAGACTGCTTCTTCATTGTCCACCCTCAAGATCATCTTACCTTCCCAGACTTTGAGAATTGAATCTCCAGTGGCCAAGAGAGGCCGTCCCAAGATGATAGGAACTAACACATCAGCCTCGTAGTCCACGATGATAAAATATGCAGGGAAAATAAACTTTCCAATCTGCAGCAAGACGTCCTCAATTACCCCCTCAGGATAAATATAAGATCTAGCAGCTAACTGTAGCATCATCATGGTGGGTCCCGGCGCTCCAAAGCCCAATTGTTTGAACATTAACAACAACATCAGATTGATACTTGCGGCCAAATCACACAAGGCTCTACCTACATCAATTTCACCAATCCTTACGGGGATGGTAAAACTACCTGGATCCTTGAGCTTTTGTGGAAGCTTATGTTGAATCCTGGAAGTGCACTCCTCAGTAAGTGTGACGGTCTCAAACTCAGTTAACTTCCTTTTATTTGCCATTATATCCTTAATATATTTTGCATATTTTGGGAGCATGTCCATCAAAGGGATGTTCAAGTGTATCTGCTTCAGCATATCTAAGAATTTGTAAAACATGTAATCATCATTCTTTTTTCTCAACCTTTTAGGAAAAGGGGATGGCACCCTCTCTGATATTTGCTCAGACTCTGTTTTGTTTCTCTTATCTGCCTCTACAGGTTTTGGCACTCTTTCTTCTTCGAGCCCAGACTGCTCTTTTTTTTCTTCTTAGGCACTTCTACCAACTCTCTCCCATTTTGCAATGTCACTGCATTGACTTGAGGATTTTTTTCTGTATCACTTGGGAGAGCTCCAGTAGGTCTAGTATTCTGATTGTCTGCCATTTGCCCAAACTGCCTCTCTAGATTTTTGAACTCTATGCGCAATTGTTGATTCTCAGCCATAACTTTCTAATTGTCTATCAAGAGCTTTTTTATCATGTTAGCCAAACTCTCTTTTGCTTGTGGTGGTGTAGGTGGCTGATTGTAGTTAGCTTGAGGCCTGATATTTTGATTTTCACCCCAAGAGAAGTTAGGATGATTCCTCCAGTTTGGATTGTATGTGTTACCATATTGAGCATTTTGATTCATCAGCCCTCTAGCTTGTTGCCTCACATAGTAGATGGATTCAGGATTCACGGGGCATTTGTCACTTGTATGACCTTCACCATATAACCCGCAGCAAGTAGACATCTGTTGCACATGCTACATCTGGTGTGCTTGGTACATTGTCATTTTATTCATTTGATTTGCTAATCTCGTTATATCTTCCCTCATGGTTGAGAAATCATCAAGCTCAATCACACCTGCTGCCTTTTGTTTAAGTGCTCTTCGTGGTTCTCCATCTCCTTGCCAATTATTATCATTAGCAGTGAAATTATTTAGCAGGATCTGCATCTCACTATATGGTCTTTCCATGCAGCTACCCTCACATGCTGAGTCAAGATTCATCTTTGATGCCTCGTCTAACCCATCAACAAAAGTGTGACCCAACACCTCAACAGTCTGATAATGGTATGGGCAGTCTCTGTGTAGCTTCTTGTATCTTTCTCAAGCTTGTCAAAGAGTCTCATTATCTCGTTGTTGAAACCCAAGAATCTGGCTCCTCAGCAACTTTATCTTCTTAGTGGGAAAAAACTTGATTAAGAATTTCCTTGCTAGATCATCCCGATTGTGGATTGAGTTCGCGGGCTCCTTTTGCAGCATTCCTTAGCTTCCCCCAGCAATGAAAATGAAAACAATGTCAGCCTGACATAGTCCTTGGAAACATTCGGATAATTGTAAGTGTCTGTAATTTCCAGGAAGTTCTAAATGTGTTTCTGCGGGTCTTTATGAGATAGACCCACATATTGCCTTGTGGATTGAGTCAGCTATACCATGTACTGTTTGAGTTCAAGGTGACTCGTGATATCAGGATTAACAATCGCCTGAGTCATATTAGCCAGATAGGGCTTTGCAGCTTCTATCACCGGACGCTCTTCATTACATGTCATCTCTATTGGCTGTGGTTGAACTACGATGTCCAACTCTCTTTCAATTCTAGTTCTAGCTTTGACTTTCCTCCTCACTCTATGAAGTGTTCGTTCGATTTCAGGATCAAGAGGAAGGAGGTTGTTTGTGCTTCTAATCCTCTGCATTCAAAAGAAGAGCCTGCGTTATCACAAATAAAGCAAACTAAAAATTAAAACTTGAACAAATAACGAATAAACACTTAACTTAAATAAGAAACCAATAACTAAGTCCCCAATAATGATGCCAAAAACTTGTTGGGACCAACCACACACGTAAGTATATGTGGTCGTCAAGTAATAAAGTGACTCGAAAGTCGGATGCTAAATCCACAGAGACTTAGATTGATCGTTAACTAAGCAAACTAAAATTAATTAATTGTCCAAGATAATCAAGAGTGATGTTCTTCTATTAGTCTACTATTGCAAAAATTAAACAAATAACAACTAAATCACCATGAATGCAAATGGGTATGATGAGACTTTAATTCAGAGGAGATGACGATTCTAGGGTTGTGATTGGTTTATCAACCCTATTAAGTTCAATAATCACACTCGTTAATCCGAATTATCTATGGTTGCTAGCTGTCCGGATCATTTATATAAATAGCATATTCCCACAATACTATCCGTCTATCCATAATATATCAACCTTATATTCCTAAGGTATTGAATCTATCATGAACGAATATAATACGGCATTAAATTAAGCAAGACTATTAGGTATATTCCTACCCTAACCACGAAATCTTTTCCCTAGCCACGGGTTCAGAAACAAACTCTCTTTAATTCTACTCTAATCTAAACATGACTTTTCCAAGCATAACATAGATTGTAGGGTGAATTGGTGCTACAACAATTCACAAGTTAAAACTAGAATTAAAAAAACAACCACAAGATGATAATCCGAATTAATAGAGATGTAATTAATAAATGTTAATAATCATGTCAACCGCAACCTTAGAAACTAGAGTGCTTAGCCACTCATGATCGTAGCAACAATTTTTCAAGTATTTTGCATAAACAAATTACAAACAAAAGATGAAGGAATGAAGAACTCGATGATTTTCTACTCATTAGAATGCTCCAAATGTCTTCTCCCTTCCAAAATAGTCTCCCTAGGTCTAAGATGTGTAAAAAGTCCTCAAAATAGTATTTTTTTCATGTATTTATACAAGTAGGGTCGGGCCCAAATGAAACATCTTTTCCTGTGCGAAATAGGACTCTCACTCTGAGAAATTTACACTGCGGCGCCCCATGCGGTGCGGCAGTGTAAATTTCTCAGAGTGAAATTGTTTCATTCTCTTTTGACATCCAGACCTGGTACACGACCTCCAAACACGATCCTAGCTTAATTTATTGGGCTTTTACTCAGACTTCAAAGCTCCAAATTGACCGATTTAGCTCCAAATTAACTTTTAAACTCTGAATCACTTCATGCAAGGCATAAAACATGTACTAAGTGTAATTCATTATCATTTAAGCTCAAACACACGTAAAATGCAGTAATTAGAGTGTAATACTACAGCTAAAACACGTGTTTCTAGCCTAACATCAATATCCTTATGGGAGAGTGCGTATCTTTATGGGAGAGTGGGATAACAATCTCAGGATAACTAATCGCGAAATAATTAATCATTAGATAAGTTGTTGTCCAACCAAACATTTTTCATTATAGATTTTCAGAATGAAGAAAGATGTCAAATTCGTAATCAAGAAACTACTCGGCTAATACCATCTAATTGTTTGTGTAAAACCGGGTCCTTTTTTTTCAAATTTTAATTCAAACGGCTCTCTCAAATATGGACAAAAAATATAAGAATTTTTTTATCGGCCTAAATTTCTAAGGGATAAAAATATCTAACGAAATCTATACTAAGAGATAACACGTATACGATCAAATAGTAAAAGTTCGCATAAGTTAGCCAGACACCACTATATACACACACAAAAAGAAAGAAGTATGGTACATAAATAATGATAATAAAGAAAGAAACAACCAAATATCAAGTTCCACTCCCATGACTA